GAACCGCTGAACTGCAGATAACAGTCAGCTGAAGTGGCCTGCAGTACTGCACCCTAACCACTGCACCACCTCGGCTCCTTATCTACCTACAGTTAAGGGACATGCAAATGCACACACACAAAAATGAGTCACTGGCTTTTTCAATGGTTTAGAAGTTATTTTTATTTAGAAAAGCAGGCAGAGAGTACTCGAAATTCTATTAGGGCAGTTGCTGTGGGAAGAGATATTTATTTCTTTTTATGGCTCCTCCAGTCTAAACTGCTCACCATAAATCTGTCCAATTATTGCTTAAACCATTTATTTACTTAACATGCTGCTTAAATTAGTGAAGGTAAAAAAACAGGAATACACAGGATACTTCGGCCTTCCTGCAATAATCCTTTGGGAATGAATAACACAAGTAGAGCACTTTCAGTTGATGCCTAAGGGACTCATTATTTAGTCTGAAAAAGCTAAGTTTTAATGATGATTATTAAGCCCAATAATATTTTCCAGAAGAGGAAGGCATATAGTCACAGTTTCTTTGATGATTCACTGTGGTGAAAAACCTTGGAACCCTGAAACATCCAGCAACCCTCCCCCTCCCCCCGAATTATTTCTGACAACAAAAGAAAGTAATTGTTACTAGAAATTCTGCATGTTTTGTTCTGACTACAATGTTACAAGATACTTGATATAATAAAAACTGTAGTTATTTTCCATACTGGTTTTGTGCATGTAGCTAAAATATATGACAGTTTTGGCTGTCAACACCTTTTTTTAAAACAACACTTTCTTTAAAAAAATTCTATTTTTTTTCCATTTTAAAAAAATACAATTGAAATCATATATTTTTTTCAAAAAATGAGAAAGAATCCTGGTTTGAATTTTGTGAAATGTTTACAAAGAGAAATCTCTGAGAAGATAAAATAAACTGAGGACTTATTCATACAGCCTGGCTCCCCCTTTGTCACTTTTTATTAGATCCTCATTAGCTATCAAGGGACCTTAGGGCATGTTTTTCTTAGGTTTGTTGCTGGCTAAACTCAACAGCTCAATGGCTACTTCACAGACGCAGGAGTCCCCTTTAATTGAGGCACTGCTTGTGATAATCTATAATACTTTTTAGAACTATTCTTCCCATGAGTGTTACATTATACATGTTGTCCTAAACTTAGAACCAGTTGCTTAATGACCATATGTATGGTGGCCATGGAATGGGTACTCTGTGGCCTGTAAAGCACCTCCCAGCCATTGTAAATGGAGTAGAGTAGAGTAGAGTAGAGTAGAGTAGAGTAGAGTAGAGTAGAGT